CACCTCACCAATATTGAGGCACTTATTCTGGAGTAAACACCAAGCTTGGTTTCTGTTCATCCCAGTTCAGCTGCTACTACTTCAGCCCCAGGATCCAGTTTAAATGAAGTAACTGTTCCATTCGGCCACTCTGGCCACATCCAGTTCCAGTTTTTCTTGGCTCTACTAGATCAGCATAGAACCCCTGACCCAGAGCAGTTTGGTTTCTTGTGCTCTGAACTGGCAGCATCTTCCCAATTGATTATGCTGCCTGCAGGTAAAACAAAGTTTCCCAGATGCCTCACGCTGTGGAGGACCAGGCACATACCACAGTATTTTGCATACTTGTTCCGTTTCCACTCCCCCTGCAGCAAATGCTTATGATGAAAATGTTTCTGTTTTTGCACATAGAACCCCTTCAGCTGAATCCAGATCTTTGGCCTTTGCCTTCATAAACCCTGGGAATAAATCTCCTTCATGGAGTAGCCACTTTTCTGGGGACATTCTCTCCAGAACCACGGGCAGTTTGGTTCCTTGTCAGAGGCTCTTTCAGGTCTCCTAAGCCACAATTTTTACTGAGCCGCCTTAATTCTGTAACGTCCTGATCTATAGTTTTTGCTTTTTGCATGAACATAGAAAACTTATTTCTTTCAAAAGTTTCTTCTTAGTAACTCACAGTCTTAAAAAAACCACCCAGTGGAGCCCTTGGATGATCAAGGGGAGAAAGGATGATAGAGAAGCCAGAAGCCAGTTTGGTGCAAGAGCAATTTGAGCAGTTTGGTGTGGTGGTTAAGGGCGCGGACTCTGATCTGGGAGAACTGGGTTTGATTCCCCACTCCTCCACTTGCACCTGGCTGGATGACTTTGGGCAAGCCGTAGTTCTGATAAGAGCTGTTATTGAAAAAAGAGCAGTTTCTGTCAGAGCTCTCTCAGCCCCACCTACCTCACAGGGTATCTGTTGTGGGGAGGGGAAGGGAAAGGAGTTTGTAAGCCGCTCTGAGACTCCTAGTGAAGGGCGGGATATAAATCCAGTCTCTTCTTCTCTCTTTTGCCTCTGTCTTCACTGTGACAGATGGGAGGCGCTTGCCCACCCCAGAACCGCCGATTTCAGGATGGGTGTTGAAAGAACTGAGTCAGATTGACGAGAGAGGAGGACTTACGACCGATGGACAAATTAAAAACTGACAGATCACCAGGCCCAGATGGCATACATCCAAGAGTTCTGAAAGAACTCAGATGTGAACTTGTGGATCTCCTGACAAAAATATGCAATCTATCACTAAAATCTGCCTCCATTCCAAAAGACTGGGAGGTAGCTAATGTAACCCCCATCTTTAAAAAAGGTTCCAGAGGAGAACCAGGAAATTACAGGCTGACCAGTCTAATGTCAGACTCTAAGTTGGTGGAATTCAATATGTGGTTGAAGGCAACCCGGAAAATCTACAGCAACTTGGTGGAATTCGTTATTAAAGATAGAATTAGTAGGCACATTGATGAACAAAAGCTATTGAGGAAGAATCAGTGTGGATTCTGTAAAGGAACATCTTGTCTCACCTTTCAGAGTTCTTTGAGGGGTTAACAAACATGTGAACAAGGGTGACCCAGTAGATGTTGTTTACCTAGACTTCCAGAAACGTTTTGACAAAGTTCCTCATCAAAGGCTCCTGAGTAAACGCAGTAGTCATGGGATAAGAGTAGAAGTCCTCTTGTGAATTAAAAACTGGTTGATTAACAGGAAACAGAGCGTGAGTGTAAATGGGCAGTTTTCACAGTGGAAGGTGGTAAGCAGTGGAAGCGCCGCCGGGCTCAGTACTCAGTGCGATGCTTTTGAACTTGTTCATTAATTATTTGTAATTGGGAGTAAGCAGTGAAGTGGCTAGGTTTGCGGATGACACTGAGTTGCTCAGGGTGGTGAGAACCAGGGAGGACTGTGAGGTGCTCCAGAGGGATCTGTTGAGGCGGGCAGGGGGCCGTCATCGTGGCAGGTGGGGGTTCAACGTGGGCAAGTGCAAAGTGATGCACACTGGAGCCAAAATTCCTAACTATGAATACACAATGATGGGGTCTGAACTGGCGGAGACTGAGTGGGAGAGAAATCTAAGAGTCCTGGTAGGTAACTCACTGAAGATGGCAACTCAGTGTGCAACTGCAATAAAGAAGGCCAATGCTATGCTGGAGATTATTAGGAAGGGAATTGAAAACAAATCAGGCAGCATTGTAATGCCCCTGCATAAATCGATGGTGTGGCCTCATTTGGAATACTGCGTGCAGTTCTGGTCACCGCGCCTCAAAAAAGGTATTGTAGGGCCCTGACGTGGATAGTCCAGGAAAGTCCAGTTTCACCACGAGATCTCAGAAGCTAAGCAGGGCTGACCCTGACAAGTACTTGGAAGGGAGACCTCCAAGGAATACCAGGGCTGGGACGCGGGGGCAGGCTGTCAAGTGACTTTTCTGAACATCCTCCGTGCCCCAGTAGGAGTTGCCAGAGGTTGCCATGACTTCCAGGTATGGGCACGCGCACACACGCTAAAATACCAAAAAGACCAAAATCAAAAAAGGTAGTATAGCACTGGGAAAAGGTGCAGAAAAGGGCAGCTAAAATGATTAAGGGGATGGAACACTTTCCCTATGAGGAAAGGTTAAGGCGCTTAGGGCTCTTTAGCTTGGAGAAACGACGACAGGGGTGACATGATTGAGGTTTACAGGATTATGCATGGGAAAGAGCAGGTAGAGAAAGAGGTACTTTCCTCCCTTTCTCACAATACAAGAACTCGTGGGCACTCCATGAAATTGCTGAGCGGTCGGGTTAGAACGGATGAAAGGAAGTACTTCACCCAGAGAGTGATTAACACTTGGAATTCACTGCCACAGGAAGTGGTGGTGGTGGCCAGTGTTCCCTCTAAGCTGAGTTAGTGTGAGCCAGCTCACAGTTTTTCAGTCTCCGGCTCACACATTTTTGTCTCAGCTCAGGAGGGATGGGGCTCCAGAGCTAACTAACTTATGCATGAGCCAAATTGCTCGCTTGCAACTTTAATGCCAGTAGCTCACCAGGTAGAATTTTTGCTCACAGGACTCCACAACATAGAGGGAGCATTGGTGGTGGCTACAAGCATGGAACGGCTTCAAGAGGGAATTAGATAAACATGTGGAGCAGAGGTCCATCGGTGGCTCTTAGCCACAAGGTAAAGATGGAACACTCTGTCTGGGGCAAGGGATGCTCTATCTTCTTGGTGCTGGGGGGACCACATTGGGAGGGCTTCTGGAGTTCTGACTCCGCTAGTGGACCTTCTGAAGGCACCTAGGTTTTGGCCACCGTGTGACACAGAGTGTTGGACTGGATGGGTCATTGGTCTGATCCAACATGGCTTCTCTTACGTTCTTACATGGAGCAGAGGTCCATCAGTGGCTCTTGGCCACAAGGTATAGATGGAACACTCTGTCTGGGGCAAGGGATGCTCTGTCTTCTTGGTTGCTTCAGGGGCAAGAGTGGGAGGGTTTCTGGAGTTCTGGCCCCACTGGTGGGCCTCCTGATGGCCCCTTGGTTTTGGCCACTATGTGATGCAGAATGTTGGATTGGATGGGCCACTGGCCTCATCCGACATGGATTCTCATGGTCTCTTAATGTGTCCATTATTACTTTTAGTTTCACATTCTCTGCTGTTGCAAAACCAACATTATTATAAATATTCAAAGTTTCCCCTCCAGCAACATGTAAAAAATGGAGGATCTCTGATCCCCCCCCCGTTTCCCCCTCTGCTTCTGCAGCTGTGAGGTCACGTTCAAACCATTCTCTGATCCTCCCTCCGACACCTGCCGGGGGGGGGGGGCTGTGAAGTCTCCCTGTTTCCGGAGGCTCCTGCCCTTCAGCGGGGCTTGCCTGGGGTTCCCTGCTGGCTGCACGGCAAGGAAACGGCCCTCAGTCCCATCCGGCGCCCTCTTCCTTCTCTGCTGCTGCCTCCCTGAGAGCCAGCCAGGAGGGCAGCGATATCGAGGAGTGGCCCAGAGCACGTTTCCTATCAAGAGCAATTGACGCATCTTGTTCAGCCGCCTCTAAGCCCGAATCTAGAACAGAATTAAGTTTGTGAGGTCTGAGGGCAAGTTCACCAATTGGCAGTCCTTTGACACTGCAAAAAAAAAAAAAGTCTCTAAGTTGCCAGTTCCGTCACCACCGGCTTGAGACGTGATTCCGGGGGAAGTGAGAGCCCCCCACACCTGGGAAGGGCGGGGCACGGGCAGGGGGCTGCGGTCCGGATCACCAGCCCTCTCCAGGGTGGGGAGCCACTTTGAGTGGGGAGAGGGAGGGGAGGGCAAGGCGCCACCCCCCCCAATATCCACCAACGTCTCTGTTTCTCCTAGGCTTCCAGATGCTGCCGCTGCCCTGTGCCAGCCGCCGTGACCAGGCAGAGGATGGAAGAGGCCCGCACCTGCTTGAGACCCGCCCCGCCAGGCCACGGGGGACCCCGGGTGGCTCCACTGAAATGGGGCTTGCAGACGTCTTCCTCCTGAGCCGCTGTGCTCCAGCCGCCGCCGTCTGACCGCGCTCTGCCGTCTCGCCGTCAGCACGGAGGAAGGGGTGCCCGCCGGGAAGGACGGTTCCGTGACGTGGTCTCAGGAGGACGCTGAGCCCCCAGGCGCCTGCCGAGGAAGCCCTCTCTGGGACCGGGCCAGGCCGGGCAGCAGGGAGGGGCGCGTGAGCAGCCGGAGCAGGGTGCAGCAGTGGCGTGTGCAGCTGGGGGCAGGCCAGCCCCTGCCCTGCCCGATGTCTGGAGGCCGGCCCGTCAGAGGACTCCAGCTGGTGCTGCTGGGAGGAGGAGGAGGAGGAGGAAGAAGAAGAGCTCTCGCCGGGGTCCCCGGGGCAGGCGTGTGACCCCTCCCCTGCAGGCTTCTGGAGGATGCAGCCCCGGCTGCCAGTAGGCGGCTGAACCCCACCCCACCCCGCCCCACGCTGGGGCTGGCCCGCCCTCCCCTCCTCCCCAAAGGATGCCCCTGTCATCTGGGCCAGCCACCCTGGCACCACAGTGATGGCGTGTGACTGCTTGCCCCGGATTCTGCTGCTGCTGCTGCTGCTCTGGGCACTGGGCCGCCTGGCCGTCCTCTCGATGCACATGGAGCCGGGGGGCCCCGGCCTGGAGCCGTCCGGAGACGATGGACTTCTGCCGCCAGGCAGTGGGCGCGTGAAGCGTGGATGGGTCTGGAACCAGTTCTTTGTGGTGGAGGAGTACACGGGCACGGAACCACTGTACGTTGGGAAGGTAAAGTCAGCCGGGTCTTGTGGGGATGTCGCAGTGGCCGTCCGTGGGCTGGGGGGGGGGGCAGACTCCACAATCCCAGCTCCCTCTGGCCTTCTCCACGCCCCGCCAGACCGCAGGCTCCAGGCCAGCGCCGAGCAGAGGCCAGGAATGCCCACCTCTGTAGGTGCCTGAGCCCCGCCCTGGACACCCGTGCCCAGCCTGGACCAGGCCCCCTCCCCAACCATGGCCCTGGCTGCTGTCCGGCCTCTGCCGCCGGCCCTTCCCTCTTCCGCCGCTGTGTGGGCACGCCGTGGGCTCTCTTGGTTGGGTCTAGAGTGCGTGGCGGGCAGAGAGGGAGGGCACGGGCGGCTCCTCAGCCACTCCGAGCTTTGTGTTTGGGCAGGAGGGCAAGGGCACGCCGTTCCAGGGTTTGCCACCCCCTCACCTCCAGTGTCCAACCATCTCATCCTTTGCTGTCCCAGTCTTCTTTGACCTTCAATCTTTCCCAGCATCAGGGTCTTCTCCAGTGAGTGCTCCCTTCTCATTGGGTGGCCAAAGTATTTGAGCTTCAGCTTCAGTACCTGGCCTTCCAGGGAACAGTCTGGGTTGATTTCTTTTAGGACGGACTGATTCAATCTCCTTGCAGTCCAGGGGACTCTCAAGAGTCTTCTCCAGCACCATAATGCGAAAGCATCTATTCTTCGGCGCTCGGCCTTCCTTATAGTCCAACTCTCGCAGCCATACACATGACTACTGGGAATACCATTGCTTTGACCATGCAGACCTTTGTTGGCAGGGAGATGTCTCTACTTTTTATCATGCTGTTTAGGTTCGCCATCGCTTTCCTCCCAAGGAGCAGGCGTCTTTTAATTTCATGGCTGCAGGGAAAGGTAGAGGTGGCATATTTCCCTTATAACTGCAGTGAAAAGGGTTAAAGGTTTTTTTGGGGGGAAAGGAGGCTGGGAACTGGTAGATCATGGCCATAGACTGTTAGAGCTCTATTGCAAAATCTGCCAGTTCCTGACGCTGTTTGAAAGCCTGAAAAAGCCCTTTAGGGCGGAGGTGTCGAACTCATTTGTTACAAGGGCCAGATCTGACATAAATGCCACTTTGTCGGGCTGGGCCGTGTGTGCCATAAATGTAATGGCAGGTAGCAGAGATATAAACTTTATAAAGGACACAGGCGAACCCAATTAACAGTATTATTTCTAACTCAAGATACAAGCAAAAGCAATTGATTCCTAGCAGTGAAAGCAATTGATTTACTGGGGAACCCATGAAAGCCCCACTAAATGTATTTAATCACATGCAAGACTCAGTTTTTCCCCCCCAAGGGTGTCAGGAACCATAGTCAAACAACTAAGCACACGCTTCCAAGAAGGTTATACTTTATTGTCAGTACTATGGTTGCAGGAACATGGTCACTGTTAGGAATAGCAAGCACAGAACAAGCATATAGAGATATAGGGCATTCGGATGCCCCCCCCCCACACACACACACACCTGTGGGCCAGTCGGCCTGTTTCACGCGGGCGGGAATGAATAACAGACGGCCCAACATAGCCAAGGCTGGGAAATGAAAGTAGTCTCAGGGTTAGTTGGTGTGGAGACACCACACAGGCATGAATACAAGGTCAGCGATACCAGGGGGAAGAAGCGAGGGGAAAGGAATGTGGCACCCACTTGCACACAGGTCATGCAGGCCGAACCTTAGAGGTTATAAACAACATGGCAGCAGAGCTGACAAAGGGATACCATGAAAGGGGGAGTCCCTTACATTCCCCTACATGCCAGTCGCTTGTGGGCCGGGTAAGAGGAGCCCCCTGCACGGGCCTGTTCCGGCCCCCGGGCCTTATGCTCGACACCCCTGCTTTGGGGTCTGTGTGTCCGGGAAGGGGGGGGGCGCAGACAGCTGAGGCAGGGGAAGGGCGGGGGAATCGCTGGGTGGGCACTCCGTTGCCGCTGCGAATATGCTCGCCTGTGGGGCAGGAGCGAGAGCCCCGCGGGGAATCCTCTCTGCAGGAGCAGTCCTGGGGGCGGGGGAGAGGGGCCGCAGGCAGAACAGCAGCCCCCTCTGAAGGGGGGGAGGAGGGGGAGGAGAGAGAGGCCCTCCTGGCCCAGGCCGGCCGGCCAGCTGCTCTGCTGTGTTCCAGCGGAAGCCTCTGGACGGCCTTCAGAGGCAGCCCCATGCGGAGGGCGTGGCAGGGGGAGGCCGTGGCTGGACCCCCAACGGGAGGAGGGTGGAGGGGGTCCGTGTCGCCGAGGAGACCCCGCGTGCCTCCCACGAAGCTGGCGCTGCTACCACCCTCGGCCCACCCCGCAGGAAAACCTCTCCCCCCCCCGGAACGGGCCGTGCCCCCGCCTTCTTGTCAGGGTGGCGCTGCCGTTCCCAGGTCCAGGGTGGGCCCCCTCTGCCTGCGGACAAGGAGGTGTGGGGCTGGGCGGGGGGGTGTCACCTGCAGACTGGGGGGGGGACTCTGCTCCAGATCCCCCGGTGCCCCCCCTGGCAGTTCCACGGAGGTCTTCCGTCTGGGATGCCCGGTGGGTCCTGGGCTCATCCCCCCCCTCCCAGCACACCCCCGTCAACACCACTCGATTGACTGATTGGGGCTAGGTATTGACACTCTGCTTTCCTGCCCGGTGGGGACCCAAAGCCACTGACAGCATCCACCTCCTGGCCTCTCCTTCATCTTCACAGCAACCCTGCGAGGTAGGTTAGAAGAAGCAGTAGTAGTAGAAGAAGAAGAGATTGGCTCCACACCCCGCCCTTCACTCGGAGTCTCAGGGCGGCTGACGAACTCCTTTCCCTTCCCCCTCCCCACAACAGACAGACACCCCCCTGTGAGGTGGGTGGGGCTGTGAGAACTCTGACTGAGAACTGCTCCTGAGAGAACAGCGCTGAGAGAACTTGTGACTGGCCCAAGGTCACACCAGCAGCTGCAAGTGGAGGAGTGGGGAATCAAACCCGGCTCTCCCAGGTTAGAGTCTGCACTCCTAACCAATGTGCCAAACTGGTTAGCACACGACTGGCCCAAAGCCACCCAGTGAGCTTCCGTGGCAGAGCGCCCATTTGTCCTTGGGTCTCCCGGACCCCGCTCTGACGCTCCAGCTGCAACATCAGGGGCAAGGCTCCCTCTAAGCTGCGGAGTCTTGTGAGCAAAAATTCTACCTTGTGATCTACCAGCATTAAAGTTGTGAGCGACCGATTTGGCTGCTGCATAAACTAGTTCACCTTGGAGCCGTCCTTCCTGAGCTGAGATAAAAATGTGTGAGCTGGAGGCTTAAAAACTGTGACCTAGCTCACACTAACTCAGCTGAGAGGGAACACTGACTCTGAGGTCCCCAACATGGGGCCCATAGGAGCCCTGGCGCGCGCACATGCGCGCGCGCACACACACACACACACACACGGTATTTTTAGGATGCGGGCGGGGTCAGATGGGGCTGTGGTCCAGCGGGGCTTCCGATTGGCCCATGGAGATCTGATGGGCTGTGCAGATCTCTCCCCCCCCCACCACCACCACCAAATGTTGCTTTGGCACCAGGATCTCCACTGCGTGACTGAAGGGAAGCAAGAAAACATTTCCCAACACCACGCTCATTTGAAAAGGCCTCCCGTGAAGCGGAGCTTCTGCTTGGAATGTTGAAGAGCTGCTCCTGGAATTAAGCCTGATTCCACTCCCCCAGCGGCGTTCCGGGGCTGGCTCTGCCTGACAGAGATCCGAGAGGAGGGCGAGGGCGCCACCCCCCTCCATGGGGCTGTGCCAGAGGCCCGCCCCGGCCTTGGGCTCCAGAGGTCACGGGAGGTCTGGACCGGAGCATCCCTCTTTCCAGCACCTGCTCCGACCAGTCGGCTTCTTCCCGTTGCCCCCCCCCCCAGTGCCTTCCCAGAAGACCCCTCCTCCCGTCAGGTGGGGCATGCTGCTCCCCTGTCCAGGCAGGTCTCTCTGCCCCTTGGGTCGTTGCACCCCAGGCTTGCCCGCTTCTTGCGGGGGGGGGGAGGGCACCCTTGTGCCTCACAGAGCCTTGAGGACGCGAGCGGCAAGGTGCCAGGGCTGCCAAGGAAGACCGGCCAGCTGGACCGGGCACGCGGACTGCTGCAGCCTCTCTGCACATCTGGGTGGCGTGGCACCTCCCTCCCCAGACGGAGAGAAGCCGCTTTTGTGGACTGCCGCAGCTGCCTGCTCCCCAGCCAGCCAGCCAGCCAGAGCCTTCGGCAGACGGAGGGGCCTCCCAGGGCCCATCTTGGGCAGAGGACTGAGGGTGGTGACTGAGGTGGCCGTTGAGGCCGGGTGGTTTAACTGGATGATTGGCTGCCGGTGGGTGCGTGGGCGGGACCTCCTCACATCTCCCCCCCCCCTCCTCCAGTAGCCACGAGGCGGGCCTCTCCCAGGTCCTGCTGCTGTGTGTGTGTGGGGGGGGGGGGCATGTTCCTAGAGCAGGCTCTGCTGAAGGGACCAGACTGCTCGCCAGTGTGTGCCAGGGAAGGGTGCAGAGGCTCTTCCCGGGTGAAGGTAGAGATGGCTGCAGGTGTCACAGCCTGGGCCTGCGTGGGGCCTGGCTTTTCAGTCTGGACGGGGTCTGGCCTGCCATCCTCTCCCAGGGGGTGGGGGGAACCTCTCCGTCCCCCTCCTCCTCCAGGCAGCCGTCCTCTGCAGTTCAAGCTAATTCACAGCTCCCCTGGGGAGACCCTGGAAGCATCAGGCCGTGGCACGTTCCGGAGGTAGCCTAGCAACAGGCTCCCTTCCAAAATGAGCCCGGGAACCTCCCGCTAACCTGTTTTACAGCCCCTTTCCACACACACCCTCTTCACCGCAGCAGCTGCCGGCCCCAGGAAAAGACGGCCAAGCGGCACAGACGCCCGTCTCTCCGAGGAGGAGGCCGTGGAGCGTGGCCAGTGATCCGCCGCCACCACCACCACCCCCGGCTCCTGTTGGCACCACCCCTCCTGTTCGTGGGATGAGAAGCCCTGGCGCCCTGCCCCTGCCAGCTGAGCTTGCGGTGCCCCGCTCTACCCGCTG